GTGTAGATAAAGTTCACTGTTTAATTTAATCTGAAGGAAAAAAAATGCTCTATCAAAATAAAAGGAGAATGTACAGATGACGCCCAAATAAACTGATCAGGAAAATCGCTACCTTCCTATCAGTTTCCCATGCAACATTGCAATATACTAGGAACATTGCCAGCTGTGTTTGTTTTGACTTTGGAACTTCTTAATGAGCTTTATGCTGCTGGTCACAAGCATTTTCATGAGGGATATGCATAACTAAAGTGCAGTGAAAACTACTCAGCTTCAAACACAGTATTAAAGTTGATAAAACAATTTTCATAGGATTCAAAGTGAAGTCAGATTTTGAGTGAAAGAATTGAAATTTGTGAATTATTATTACTTGATCTCAAACCTGAAATTTTATTTCAAAATCTGAAAAGTAATGTTGTTACTTTACATCAGTCATAACAAACACCACTGACAGTATTTCTAGGAATATTACAATGTTGCAAGAAAGATTGATGTATTCATGATCAGTTTATTTCGGTGCCCGCTGTAATATTTGTTTGCCACATAAATTCAGGGGCTGCCTTTGATAATCAAAACAAGTCAGTACACATGCATGCCTGTAATTGCAGATGTAAGTTTTAGAATAAATATAACAAACTGTTCTTCAAATCAAATTGGCACTTATGATATTCAGTCAAACACCTAGTAGTTCGCATATCTATTAGTGTATTTATAAGTTGTACATTAACAAACTTGTTTAAATGTATTATTTACTAAATATTAACAAAGACATTGCTACTTCATGTTACTGTGTACCAATGTTCAACAACTAATATAGACGTGCATTGCTGTAATAACTATAATTCAATTAAATGTTTGTTGTTATCTGTTTTGATGGTTTTTGTTAATGTATAAAGTTTTGTTGAATGGAAATATATTTTATTTTAGGGTTTCTTTGCTTTTAATTTAATCGTTGATTATTATTAAGGTACTAGTAATTTATTTTATAGATCACCATTGCAATTTTTAAACTGTGATTTTGATTTTATTTATTAGGTTCAGGAACTCCATCTATATCAACACCTCGGCTCATGGACAATCGGTCATCAAAGTCTGGTTCAAGTGTGTCTTTGATTTCTGGCAACAGCACTGTGGAGAGATCCAGCTCAGAGAAAGTGGCTCCAAATGGACATTCCAGGACACCATCTACTAGCGGTAACATTTTCTTCAGCTATGACAAGTTGGAAGAGTCTGAAGTTAAAGACCTGTTAGTTTGTTTGCTGTATATTCTGAAAAATTTGAATGAAGGTGAGTTGAAGAAATACTGTGTATTTTTTCTGTCAGTGTTTCGTATCACGCATTCTTACTTGTGCATTAAAATGATTGTGTTTAGAATAGATTCTATGCAGTATTTATAAACAACTTAAAGACATGATTCAGATCTGAGATGCTACGTACAGCGGTATGAAGAACTTGTCATCGTATTCTATCAGCATGGATGCATATCAATGTCTGTACTACTAACTCCAGAATTGTAGAGGAAACAGAGGAAGCGAAAATGATGATTTGCACAAATTAAAATATCTTGATGAATGTCTTAATCATTGTATTTAAAAAAGAATATTGTATTATATAAATAATTGTGTCTGCTGTTGTTATCACCATTATTAAATGTATTATCTTGTAGAAATTATACTGGGTTGGTGGAACCAGTCAACAGAAAAGGAACAGATAGAGTTCTTTCAGATATTAGAGTAAGTATAACTAGTACCGGTAAGAGTTCCTTAGGGCCACCTCACATAGAACCTTTATACTGCCCCTCTAGTGCCCTCCCCATTTTACTTGTATATACCCATTTTCACTGAAGGCTAGAGTGTTATGGTGTTTTAGGTTAGGAGGGGCTTTAATAAGGAGCTCTTTTCGTGTAATGTTTCTATTATGAATGCTCCGACAGTTTCATTGTTTCCCAGATGTTATAATGAGCACTAATTAAACAATTAGGTTCAGGTCCTGGAAACGTCCTACTACCCCGGTAGTATGTTATAGGGGAAAATAAAATATTGTTTCTGTCTTCATTGCTCAGTCCCAGGCATTCTCATCACAAAGAATAACAGATTTCTGCAGAATAAAAAAAAACTCTTCAAATGCCCAAATTGCCTGTCATTAATTAATTAATTCTGTACAATTTTATCAAATGTTGATCACGAACTGTAGCCAATGATAAATTCAATCATTTGGTCCACAATACAAAACTACGAACAAAAAAAACAGCAACATATTTTGAAATTTTTTTGCAGGATTTGTTTGTATCAGTTTAGGTATCAAGGGAAGAAATTGATTGCAGCTATAAGGTATGCTTGACACGCTCTCACACTCTTAAAGTGCCTGTGCAATGCCCACCCACACACTTCCCATTTTAGATCTGTGCCCCACTGAAATGGGCAATTATTGATTTTTTTGCTGAAAATGATTACTTCGTATCCAAGTAAATTTGAGATATTTCCCGTGCTGTAGCCACGCCCACCTATCCTGAAACAGT